GGGCACAGGGGTGTCCTCAGTGGGGAGAGGGCACAGGGGTGTCCTCAGTGGGGAGAGGGCACAGGGGTGTCCTCAGTGGGGAGAGGGCACAGGGATGTCCTCAGTGGGGAGCGGGCACAGGGGAGTCCTCAGTGGGGAGCGGGCACAGGGATGTCCTCAGTGGGGAGAGGGCAAAGGGATGTCCTCAGTGAGGAGCGGGCACAGGGGAGTCCTCAGTGAGGAGCGGGCACAGGGATGTCCTCAGTGGGGAGAGGGCAAAGGGATGTCCTCAGTGAGGAGCGGGCACAGGGGTGTCCTCAGTGGGGAGCGGGCACAGGGGTGTCCTCTGTGAGGAGCGGGCACAGGGGTGTCCTCAGTGNGTGGGGAGCGGGCACAGGGGTGTCCTCTGTGAGGAGCGGGCACAGGGGTGTCCTCAGTGGGGAGCGGGCACAGGGGAGTCCTCAGTGAGGACTGGGCATGGGGAGGTCCTCATGGAGGAGTGGGCCTTGGGGTGGAAGGTGTGAAGGACAAGAGTTTTCTGTCCCACCGCAGCAGCAGATCAGTTTTTATTACAATGTGGTTTCCATCTAGGACCTCGATTGAGCTGGTGGGAATCGTGCCACTCATGCTGTGCCCTGTCCCAGGTGGTCACGGGCGTGCCCAGGCATGCTCTGTGGTTCTGAACATCAGCCCGTCCAGCCTTTGCCATATACCTCAGAGGCCAGGGGCTGTGCTAGGGCCAATGGGGAGAGACAGAGGACAGTGTCCCAGGCAGCCCACCGACCGCCGTCCCTGCCCCACCAGACCTGCCCTGACCCCAGGCCAGCTGGCTGCCCTGCACCCCTCCTGGCTGGGGGTGCCGAGCCTGCTCTGCCCCGTCTGGCCAGGCCCTCGTACATCCCTCCCACTGGAAGGTTCTGCCTCGACAGCCCTGAAGGAGCATCTCCCAACCCCATGCTGGGTCACCTGCCAACAACAGGGTCTCAGCCGCCCCTCACGCAGCCCATGTGAGTTCATCTGCTCCAACTCAAGGTTGAGGGGCCATGGCCTATGAACCGGACCATTCTTTAACCAGCAGCTTCACAGGTCAACATGCAAAATACATAGCCAGACACATGTGCGCTTGATTTTTACAAGTCTGCAGCCATGTGGTACCTATGGAGCAGTGGTGCTTCTGCAGTGGCACCCTGGCCTACCTCATGCCCTCCGTGGACTGGTGGCGGTGGTTGCGGTAGAGCTGTGGCACGCCCAGCATGGCTTCGGTCAGCACGGCCAGGAAGCCCAGGGTCTCCACAAACAGGGTGGAGTCAATGGACAGGTAGGTGATGTAGCCCACCAGGCCCGTGAAGGCCACGACACACTGCACGTAGTCCGCGAAGCTGCTCCACTGCCAGAAGTGGTGGGGGTCAAAGTCTAGGGTGAAAGGGAGAAGCAACCTCAGCACAGCTTAGGGTCCAAGTGAGGGGTCAAGGTCAGGGAGGAGAGAGGGAACTGAGCAAGAGATCAGGGTCAGAGGAGAGATGGGAACCCAGCGAGAGGTTAGGGTCAGAGGAGGAGAGACGGAAACCGAGTAAGAGGTCAAGGTCAGTGAAGAGAGATGGGAACTGAGAGGTCAGGGTCAGAGGAGAGACAGGAACCGGTGAGAGGTCAAGGACGGGGAGGAGAGACGGGAATGCAGTGGAAGGTCAAGGTCAGAGGAGGAGCCACATGTTCTTGGTCACACCCTGGTGAACAACGTGTGAAAGAGTCTTGAAACAAATATTAACTCAACATAAAAGATGATGACATCAGGCCAGGTGCAGTGGGTACCTAGAGCCCCAGCTCCTCGGGAGGCTGAGGAGGGAGGATCACTTGAGTCCAGGAGTTGAGGCCAGCCTAGGCAACACAGAGACACCTGTCTCTTTAAAAACAAACAAAAACTTGCTAAAGTTCTTCAAATGAATTAGTCTCTGAGAAGCCGTACAGTGTGGGGAGTGCCCTGCAGTCCTTGGAATCTGATGCCCGGGTTAGGGGCGCAGCCCCCTCGGGTTAACCACAGTCTCCTGTTCCTCAGATGTTACCAGGAAGAGATGGGGACCACTCCTAGGACATTCTGAGGATTCAGTGAGTTGGTCTTGAGTTCTATAACAGGCTTCAGCCGCAGTTACGCTCAGTAAATCCAAGCCATACCCTTCCTGCACCTTGTCACTTGCTAGATGATGGATCTGTAGAAACCACACTCATAAGCACTCACATAAATTAGCAAATTAAAGGAGGCAGGTGGACACACAGTCCTGGGGACACAGCAGCTGCAGGGAAAAGGTACACAGAGACAAACTTGCCAAGAAGCCTGCGCAGCGCGTGCTGCACCCGCCCCTCACCCGTCCTTATAGCAGCGCATACTGCGCCCGCCCCTGACCTGTCCTTACAGCAGCAGAGCCAGGGCATGGGCTGCAGGGGTGGGGTGATGGGAGGCGGTGAAGTCTACTGGGCTAGGGGGTGCTGAGGGGTGAGGTTAGAGGGACAGGGAGGTTATGGGTGTGGTGAGGTTAGCGGGGCTTTGGGGCATCACAGGGCAGAGAGGCCAGGGGTGTTGGGCTGGCTGCCTGTCGGGCTGGCAGTGCAGTGAGGGCAGGAGTGGTCAGGATGTGCACCTTCTCCCCGTCCCTCTTGACCCTAGATCTGTGCCCCCCTTCCTGCTCCACACTCCCTCACTGAGTGAGACACTGCCCAGTATCTGAGCTGGAAAGGGGCCACAGTGGAGGCAGGGCCAGAGGAAAGATGGGCACGGTGTGCAGCCCCTCCCAGAACACAGCAGGGCACGGGCTCATGTGCAGCCCCTCCCAGAACACAGCAGGGCATGTGCTCATGTGCAGCACCTCCCAGAAAACAGCAGGGCACGTGCTCATGTGCAGCCCCTCCCAGAACACAGCAGGGCATGTGCTCATGTGCAGCACCTCCCAGAAAACAGCAGGGAGTCCAGGAGGTTCTGAACATAATGAGATTCCATCTTTACAAACAAATACAACATTAGCAGGGCCTGGTGGTGCGCACCTGAGATCCCAGCTACTTGGGAGGCTGAAGCACGAAGATCCCTTGAGCCCAGAAGTTCAAGGCTGTAGTGAGCCATGACTGTATAACTGCACTCCAGCCTGGGTGACAGAGTGAGACCCTGTCTCAAAAAAAAAAAAAAAAACTAGTATGTGTTTCAAAGGACAAAAATCAAAGTAAAAAGCCAACCAGTGGAATAAGGGAAAATATTTGCAAATCACATATTTGATAAGAATTTGATGTCTAGAATATATAAAGAGCTCCTACAACCCAACAACAAAAAAGCACACAAACTGATTCAAAAATGTGCGGCAACTTGAAAAGATTTTTCTCCAAAGAAGAAAAAGGAGGTGGCAGGATCTAGATGAGCAGGAGACAGGCCACCTCATCCTCAATGCTCCTCCCAGAAACCTGCCTCCAGCCTGCGTCTCTTCCCCCAGATCTGGTTGGCCATGCTCTCTGAGGTGCCAGGAAGACGTGCCGCACTGGGGCAGCACCCAGCGTCAGTGCGTTACCAGAGGAAACAGAGCCTCGTGTGCCTTTTGGCAACACTCCCTGCATTGCTGAGAAGAAAGAAGGCAGCATGTGCTGTGGTGGAGAGGAAGCATGACAGGCCTGAGTTGATGACGCAGCTGAGCCTCCTTGGCCAAGTGCAGCCCCAGGCTCTTGCCACAGTCCCTAACAACTGAGTGATTAGGTCCACCTGCATCTCAGCCCGGCAGCTCATACAGGACAGTCTCACTTGGTATCACCAAAATTCGAGGCAGAGGGTCCTCTTAAATAGGCGCTGGTGACCAGGTGTGGTGGTTCACACCTGTAATGCCAGCACTTTGGGAGGCTGAGGCGGATGGATCACCTGAGGTCAGGAGTTCAAGGCCAGCCTGGCCAACATGGTGAAACCCCATCTCTACTAAAAATACAAAAATTAGCCAGGCGTGGGGCGTGCTCCTGTAATCTCAGCTACTCGGGAGGCTGAGGCACAAGAATCACTGGCATCCAGGAAGCAGAGGTTGCACTGAGCTGCTACTGAACCACTGCACTCCAGCCTGGGTTACAGAGTGGGACTCCATCTCAACAAAAAAAGGCACTAGGGAGCTTAACCACACCCCAGACACCTTCAATTCAATGCATTTGCCACTCATGGCCAGCGGAGGGGCTTTCGAGGGTGGCAGGGTAAGAAACAGGTGAGGCAGCTGAGATGCACGGGTGAGGTGGGGGCAAATCTCCAAACAGAAGGCAGCCTGCAGCATGGTGGAATATTACTCAGCCGAAGAAAGGGCAGATTCGTGCAACAGCATGGATGAAACTTCAAACAGGACAGCAAGTCACAGAAGCCAGACACAGGAACCACATGTTTATGAGTCCGTTCCTATGACGTCTCCAGCACAGGCAAGTCCACAGCGCCGCAGATGGGCCGCTGTCGGGCTGGGGGAAGAGGGAACTCAGGAAAAGAGGGAAGCTGCTTCAAAGGGGTATCTTTTGGGGTGATGAAAGGCTCCCTAATGAGATAGTGGTAATGGCTGCACAACTCTGTAAATACACTAAAAACCACTGAACTGTGTACTTTTAAATAGTGATAAAATGGTGAATTTTATGTTATGTAAATTGTATCTTTAATATATAACAAAATAAAAATTTTAATGCATATGGTTTGTCTTATACCAAAAGATGCAGGTGTTAAGTATCTACTTATTTTATTAATAACTGCTTATTAGTAAATACTTATTTAGCATTTTATGATACTGAAGTTGAAAACAGTTCCATCAACTCCAAGTCTGGGAGTTAAGGTGCCATCATCTGTATCCAGGACAATCTGAAAAAATTCAGCAGCCGTCTACCATTAACTGTCAGCTCACATGTGCTGGAGAACTGGAGCAGGTGGCAGGGAGGAGCCGGGTAAGGAAGATGCTGGCTGAGGCTGACCTGGGAAGGCTCAGAAAGCGGGAATGAGATCTCTAAGTTCAGTCAGGAAAAGTCAGAGGACGCAGGAGACGCCTGATATGTCAGGTGGAACAGAATGTTTTCTACAATTCTGAGAGACTAGTGTGTCAGGATATTTTCACTAAAAGTTTTAAAATCAGGTAATAAAGAAGAGAGGCCTAGAATTCCTCCTGGAAGACCTGGCCCTATCCTGAGGCACCCAGGAGGGAAGGGCACTCCACTTTCCAAAGCAACTGGGCCCCCCACACTGCTGAGCTCGCAGGAATCTGAGAGGGCACGTGGCTGTGGGAGGGGAGGGGACTCCGAGAACAAGAACAAAAGGGCAAGAACGCAATTTGGACACATGCCCATGGCCACGCAAGGTGCTAACAGAACAGCTAACTCACATGCCATGACTTCCCATGCTGTGTTTCTAGACAGCAGCACCAAAGATAGGGCTTGAAAACGAGGCGCTGAATGCTGAATGAATGTTTCCAGGCCTGTGGGACTGACCAGAGGCCCACCCTGGTGTGCACTGAGCCCTCGGGACCCTCAGCTGCCTGCAGAGAGCAGCTGATTCTCAGAACCTTCCATCGTACCTGCCCTCAATTCACAGAGAGGTCTGCTTTTCCGGCACCCCCCATGGGGACCCCCAGGAACAGACCAGCGCTCAGCCTCCATCAGTCCAGCTGCTGCTGGATTAAAAAGCAGTTCTGCCACTTGGGGAATGTGTATCAGGAAACTGTCTCCAAATGGGCAAGGAAGATCCGATTTCTCATCAGATTGTGTTTTTATGTCACAGAACACAAGAGAGATCCTGGTGTAAGAGGATCTGACAGCCAACATGTCCAAGGCATTGGAAAAAGAGCAACTCCATCATGAACAGGGGCTGGGTCAGATGAGCTGAGAACCGCTGGTCTGCTTTCCCAGACAGTCAGGCATTCTCAGTCACAGGAGGAGACAGGAGGTCAGCACAAGACACAGGTCATAAGGACCTTGCTGATCAAACAGCCTGCAGTACAGAAGCCGGCCAAATCCTACCAAAACCAAGATGGCCACAACAGTGACCTCTGTCGCCCTCACTGCTACACTCCCACCAGCGCCATGACAGTTTACAGATGCCATGGCAACGTCAGGAAGTTACCCGACATGGTCTACAAAGGGGAGGCATGAGTAATCCACCCCTTGTTTAGCATATCATCAAGAAATAACCATAAAAATGGGCACCCAGCAGCCTTCGGGGCTGCTCTGTCTATGCAGCAGCCATGCTCTCATTCCTTTACCTCCCGAATAAACTTGCTTTCACTTTATGGATTCCCCTCAAATTCTTTCTTGTGTGAGATCCAAGAGCCCTCTCCTGGGGTCTGGGTGGGAAGCCCGTTCTAGTAACAAACATGAGAGGGACAGAGAAGTCCAGAGAGCTTCCTGCTGGGACTGGGACAGCTGGAGGGTATCACAGCACT